ATTTGATGTTATTTGCGTATCATACACCAACTTGTTATTATAGTTATTTGCACCAACTTAGCGATTCCGAACTGGGGCCCCATCGTGCGTAACCACAATCCAAGCTGAGGTATCTCAAGATCCTGTGGTTGGATGGTCAACCTCTGAATAATAACAGCCCATACCGGGATAATATGGGATATATTCATGGGATAATTACTAATTGGGAATTCCACTGAATTCCAACTATAGTGGGATTGTAACTGGATAGAATGCGTAATCCCATCTCAGATCAAACATCCCCCATTCTATGGTCCCAAATAACGCGTTTTTATCCCCTACGCCCGCCTTGCCCTGTTCAATTGAAGGGGTTTGAGGGGTATGATGTTAGCAATCCATTGTGAGGGTTTATCTCCCCAGTCATCACCATAAATATAGAGGTGGTATGTTTACCATTCCCAGTCATGGGTGGTAAAAATGACATTGTTTTACCCACATCGTTTCTTGAAATCCTGGGGATGTTGGCAGTTCGTGGTCATCGTTCCAAATGGGATCCGGAACATGGTGGCTGTTGCAACTTCACCCGGGCCAACAAATGTCCGTCACTGGGACTCTTCTCTGATAAACGATTTCGGCAGAAAACCAAATACATGGTCAATCTTTGGTAATCCACAAAAATGACCGTTTTCGTACAGTTTCTTCACACACAGACGCTTTTACAGACAGACGCTTTTACACGCAGACGCTTGCACACGCAGACGCTTTTACACGCACACGCTTTTACACGCAGACGCTTGTACAACCGCAGACGCTTTTACACGCAGACGCTATTACACACAAACGCTTATACACACAGACACTTTTACACCAAAGACGCTTTTACACACAGATGGTTTTACACACAGACGCTTCTACACACGGAGGCTTTTACACACAGACGCTTTTACACACAGACGCTTTTACACACAGACGCTTTTACACGCAAACGCAAATAAACACACAGATGCTTTTACACACAGCACACAGAAGCTTTTGCACAGAAGCTTTTACACAATAGCTTCTACACACAGAAACTTTCTACACACAACACACAGAAACTTTTTACACAGATTCGTTTACACACAGAAGAAATTGCAGTTTTACCTCAGTTTTGGGCGATCGAACCTCATTTCGTGCGAAAAGGTTGCGCCGGACAACTTGAAATCGCAATTTTACCTCAGTTTTTCGCGATCGAACCTCATTTCGTGCGAAAGCGTTGCGACGGGAACCCGGAAATCGCAATTTTACCTCAGTTTTTGACGATTGAGCCTCATTTCGTGCGAAAGGGTTTCGCCGGACAACTTGAAATCGCAATTTTACCTCAGTTTTTGGCGATCGAACCTCATTTCGTGCGAAACAGTTGCGCGGGACGACTTGCAAATCGCAATTTTACCTCAGTTTTTGGCGATCGAACCTCATTTCCTGCGAAAGGGTTGCGTTTCGTGCCATCTCGTTGGCACTGCCCCTGCCCCCCGCCTTCAAAAGAGAAATAGAAAAGAAGGAGAGGGCAAGAGGGCAAGAGGGCAAAGAGGACAAGAGGAGAAGATGTGAGGATGTGAGGATATGAAGATGAGAAGATGTGAGGATGAGAGGATGTGAAGATGAGCAGATGCGAAGATGAGCAGATGTGAAGATGAGCAGATGTGAAGATGAGCAGATGCGAAGATGAGAAGATGCGACGATGAGCAGATGTGAAGATGTGAGGTTGTGAAGATGAGAGGATGTGAAGATGTGAAGACAAGAAGATGTGAAGATGAGCAGATGTGTGAAGATCTGAGGATGAGGATGAGAAGATGTGAAGATGAGAAGAGGTGAAGAGGAGAAGAGGTGAAGAGGAGAAGATGTGAGGATGAGAAGATGTGAAGATGTTTTTTAAACCCCCACTATTGGAAGAACACTGCGCTCAGACGCTCTCGGGAAAAATTGTATTTTTTGCTGGTTATGTTTGAGTTAGTTTTACCAGTTGCTGCCAAAACAGACCGAAGCATAGACCGAAGCATGCATGTAATGACCTCTTTTGTCACAAGGGGACAACCGGTTCCTATACAAGTTGCACCCCCACAGAAGACTATGCCAGGCCAAGTTTTTTATGGCCAGCACAATCCCCTGGGTGGGTGGGAGGGCCAAGCTGGGTGAATACTGCTTTGGCTTGAGCCAAGGCGGCAGCACCCACAAAAGTTAACCCTTCATTTTATCGAACCATTGAGTTAGCTTTACCAGTTGCTAGCAAAACAGACCGAAGCATGCATGCAATGCTTTTGTCAAAAGAGGACAAACAGTTCCTATACAAGTTGTGCCCCCCCAGAAGACTATGCCAGGTGGCCAGGCCAAGTTTTTTATGGCCGGCACAATCCCCCCTGCATACTTCTTTCGGCCTTTTCAAAACAATGGTTATGGTCAAAAACCAAAACGAATTGGAAGCCACCTCTCAGTTGCAACTCCGCACGGCACCTTTCTTTTCTCCCGAGCAGCTGCTAGCCGAAGCGGCTGATGACGAAGATCATTGCTCACCAGCTTTTCCAGTTGCTGCTAGCCGGAGCGGCTGACGACGAAGAGGATTGCTCACCAGTTTTTCCACAGGCCCTCCATTTGCCCCAAGTGTCGTCTTCATCATCATCTTGATTGGTCGGCCATTTGCCCCAGGGGGTCCGGTCCCGCAAATCTTTCTTCCGTTTGCACCAGGTGTCGTCGGAGAAGCTGACTTCCAAGGTTGATTGGAAGCATAGCGCCCTTTGGAAGTCTAGTCCCGCTGAGAACACCGCTTCCACGAGCTCGTCCTGAGTTGTGCTTTTACTTCCAGCGGTGCTTTTAGTAAAGCCTCCATTTTTTGCTGGGTCCTTTGAAGCAGATCTTCGTCTGCTTGCTTTTCCTCAGCGGTGGGGTCATCTGCCTCGTCTCCATGGTCGACTTGACCTGGGTCGAAGAATGGAGTTTCGATTGGCTCAGTTTGAGCAGCTTGATGATTTCTTCTATTGGAGGGAGCCTCCGGAGCAGACTTTGGAATAGGTGGAGTTTTCGCCTTTGGAGCCATCATAGGGGGGGCTTGCTTCGCGACGGGAGGAACTCCATCAGCCTCGCCTCAGGGGTCTTCAAAGTTGGAGCCACCAAAAAGGGGGGCTTGCTGCGCGACGGGTGGCACATCCTGTGAATCCAGTTGCTGGGGTGCTAAGCCATGGTTGTGCGGCTTTCGCAAGGTGCATCTACCTTCTGAGCGCAGGCAATCCTCTCGGACTCCACATGCCAAACGCTGCTCTCTAGAGGCGGAGCGTTGGTGAGTGCTGGTCTCGCTCCGAGCTTGCGCCTCTCGTTCAGAAAGGATCACGAACCCCAGCACTGACTGCATCATGCTGTCTTCAAAGTGTGCTGGCTGTTCTTGCTCTGGCCGTGGGAAATCATCCCAGCTAGGTTCTCCAAAAGCGAGAAGTTCATCTGTGTTCCTCATCCTCCACCACGACATAGACAAGTGTGCTTCAGACTCGTTTCCAGCTGTAGACGAAACCTCCCACCTCCCTTCACTCGGCTGTGCCCACCTTCATCTCCCTCGTCGCTGGCCTAATCATTGTTGGACTCATAGTGGGGTTCCAGCCTGCGAGGAGGAGCGGCAGGTCCTCCAGAAGCCGCATAAGGCTGCGGCACTCGATGTTGGTGCCTGGTGGTTGGAAGGGGCCTGTACCCTGCAGAGCAGGTGTGGTAGTGGGAGAAACTCCCTGCTTGGGGGGTGGCCCTGTTGGGTGAGGAAGGGGCCTTTCTTGGCTTGGTTGTGGGCTTTGGTTGTGGAGGAACTCGGCTGCCGCTGAGCTCTGCCGTAGAACTAAGTGTTCCGGGCTTCTGTGGAGTGCTGAGCCAAGCCGGGCCAATCCAAGAGCTAATGTTATGGTTTGCGTTGTAGGCTAAAGCCAAATATGTTATTTTGCCCTGTATTTGCATCGCGGTTTTGCTATGTAAATCCAGTTGCGTCGCATGTTTGTGATGTAAATCCAGATGTGGATTCTGGATTTGGATTCTGTTAAGTCACAGTGACAAGCAAACATTCTCACATCAGAGGCCCAAATCAAACCCAACCAGACCACACCCAGGAAAAACACAGACAGCAGCCTTTGGTCCTCAGCATAGAAAGCTAGAATCACTTCACTGGCCCCACATGCCAGGATTATAAACATGATTATCCCATGCGTGTTGTCATGTATGTATGTCATTTGTATGTATGTACGGTCTATTGTAGACTAAAAAGTGAATGTATGTAATGTAATGCAATGTATGTAGGTAGGTAGTATGTCATGTAATGATAATTTTATGTATGTAGAGTAGAGTGCATAAGTGTAAGGTGTAAGGTACTTCAGGTATGTTATGTGCAAGACTTAAGGTATGTCTGTAAGACATGTAAGGTGTGTAATGTATAATGAATGAAAGTTGCATGAGTATAAGATCTGGTGCATTGATGTATGTATCTAATGCATGTAATGTATGTAATGTATATATGATACAGTATGTCATGTAATGTAAGTAATGTATGTCTGTCTGTAAAGCATGCATATATAGTCAATGTACATCATGTTGGATATGTATGTATGTATGTATGTATGCATGCATGTATGTATGTATCTATGTAAGTATGTATGCATGCATGTATGTATGGATGTACGTACATATATATGGTATGGTATGGCATGGTATGGTATGTTATGGTATGTAATGTATGTCATGCTTGTGATGTATGTATTGTATGTAACATATGCAATGGAATGCAATGTAATATATGTAAAGTTTGTGATGTATGTAGTGAAGTGTATGTAATGTATGTAATTGTATCTAATGTAATTTATGTAATGAAATGTATGTATGTAATGTACGCAATGTATGCAATGTACATAATGTATGGAATTTACGTCATGTGTGTCATATATGTCACCCATGTAACATATGCAATGAAATGTATGTAATGTATGTACTGTACGTAATGACGTAATGTATGTAACAGATGTAATGTGTGTGTATGTCTGTTTGTATGTATGCATCCATGTAACTATCTATGTATGTATGTATGCATGTATGTATGTACTAAAGACTAATGCGCAAAACTGCAACTTCAAAAGGGAACCACTTACGTAATGTTTTGACATAGCAAGCCTGCAGAGCAAATGTTTTTACATAGCAAAACTGCAAAGCAAAAACATAGCAAAACTGCAGAGCAAATGTTTTGACATAGCAAAAAAACATAGCAAAAACATAGCAAAATTTTGACATAGCAAAAAAACATAGCAAAAACATAGCAAAACTGCAGAGCAAATGTTTTGACATAGCAAAAAACATAGCAAACACATAGCAAAACTGCAGAGCAAATGTTTTGACATAGCAAAAAAACATAGCAACAACATAGCAAAATTTTGACATAGCAAAAAAACATAGCAAAAACATAGCAAAACTGCAGAGCAAATGTTTTGACATAGCAAAAAAACATAGCAAAAACATAGCAAAATTTTGAATAGTCGACAAAATCCAAAAAATGCAATTTTTGCTGGAAGGTTTGCTAAGTTTTTGCTATGTCATTGCTCTGTTTTTGCTTTGCAGCAACTAATTCTATACTTTTTGATGGTTTTTGCTGCAAATAGCTTGCAAATAGCTTGTGTTTCTTCATTTTTCTATGGTTTTTGTTGCAAATAGCTTGCAAAAATGAAGAAATACAAGCTATTTGCAAGCTATTTGCAACAAAAACCATCAAAAAGTATAGAATTAGTTGCTGCAAAGCAAAAACATAGCAAAAACATAGCAAAACCATAGCAAAATTTTGAATAGTCAACAAAATCTAAAAAATGTAATTTTTGCTGGAAGGTTTGCTATGTTTTTGCTATGTCGTTGCTCTGTTTTTGCTTTGCAGCAGCTAATTCTATACTTTTTGATTGTTTTTGTTGCAAATAGCTTGCAAATAGCTTGTGTTTCTTCATTTTTTCTATGGTTTTTGTTGCAAATAGCTTGCAAAAATGAAGAAATACAAGCTATTTGCAAGCTATTTGCAACAAAAACCATCAAAAAATATAGAATTAGTTGCTGCAAAGCAAAAACATAGCAAAATTTTGAATAGTCAACAAAATCTAAAAAATACATTTTTTGCTGGAAGGTTTGCTATGGTTTTGCTATGTCGTTGCTCTGTTTTTGCTTTGCAGCAGCTAATTCTATACTTTTTGATGGTTTTTGTTGCAAATAGCTTGCAAATAGCTTGTGTTTCTTCATTTTTTCTATGGTTTTTGTTGCAAATAGCTTGCAAAAATGAAGAAATACAAGCTATTTGCAAGCTATTTGCAACAAAAAACATCAAAAAATATAGAATTAGTTGCTGCAAAGCAAAAACATAGCAAAAACATAGCAAAATTTTGAATATTCAACAAAATCTAAAAAATACAATTTTTGCTGGAAGGTTTGCTATGTTTTTGCTATGTCATTGCTCTTTTTTTGCTTTGCAGCAGCTAATTCTATACTTTTTGATGGTTTTTGTTGCAAATAGCTTGCAAATAGCTTGTATTTCTTCATTTTTGCAAGCTATTTGCAACAAAAACGATAGAAAAAATGAAGAAACACAAGCTATTTGCAAGCTATTTGCAACAAAAACCATCAAAACGTATAGAATTAGTTGCTGCAAAGCAAAAAAAGAGCAATGACATAGCAAAAACATAGCAAACCTTCCAGCAAAAATTGCATTTTTTAGATTTTGTTGAATATTCAACATTTTGCTATGTTTTTGCTATGTTTTTGCTTTGCAGCAACTAATTCTATATTTTTTGGTGTTTTTTGTTGCAAATAGCTTGCAAATAGCTTGTATTTCTTCATTTTTGCAAGCTATTTGCAACAAAAACCATAGAAAATTGAAGAAACACAAGCTATTTGCAAGCTATTTGCAACAAAAAACATCAAAAAGTATAGAATTAGTTGCTGCAAAGCAAAAACATAGCAAAAACATAGCAAACCTTCCAGCAAAAATTGCATTTTTTAGATTTTGTTGACTATTCAAAATTTTGCTATGTTTTTGCTATGTTTTTTGCTTTGCAGCAAAAAAATCTATACTTTTTGATGGTTTTTGTTGCAAATAGCTTGCAAATAGCTTGCAAATAGCTTGTATTTCTTCATTTTTGCAAGCTATTTGCAACAAAAACCATAGAAAAAATGCAGCAAGAGAGAATGAAGAGAAGAAGCACATGAAGAAACACAAAGCTATTTGCAAGCTATTTCGACAACAAAAACAATCAAAAAGTCATAGAATTAGCTTGCCTGCAAAGACAAAAAAAAAAAACAAGAGCATGACAACGACGAAAAACCCAGACCAACAGCATTTATAAAGCAAAAACATAGCAAACTTTCCAGCAAAAATTGCATTTTTTAGATTTTGTTGACTATTCAAAATTTTGCTATGTTTTTGCTATGTTTTTGCTTTGCAGCAACTAATTCTATACATTTTCATGGTTTTTGTTGCAAATAGCTTGCAAATAGCTTGTATTTCTTCATTTTTGCAAGCTATTTGCAACAAAAACCATAGAAAAAATGAAGAAACACAAGCTATTTGCAAGCTATTTGCAACAAAAACCATCAAAAAGTATAGAATTAGCTGCTGCAAAGCAAAAACAGAGCAACGTCATAGCAAAAACATAGCAAACCTTCCAGCAAAAATTGTATTTTTTAGATTTTGTTGACTATTCAAAATTTTGCTATGTTTTTGCTATGTTTTTGCTATGTTTTTGCTTTGCAGCAACTAATTCTATACTTTTTGATGGTTTTTGTTGCAAATAGCTTGCAAATAGCTTGTATTTCTTCATTTTTGCAAGCTATTTGCAACAAAAACCATGGAAAATTGAAGAAACACAAGCTATTTGCAAGCTATTTGCAACAAAAACCATCAAAAAGTATAGAATTAGTTGCTGCAAAGCAAAAACAGAGCAATGACATAGCAAAAACATAGCAAACCTTCCAGCAAAAATTGCATTTTTTAGATTTTGTTGACTATTCAAAATTTTGCTATGTTTTTTGCTATGTCAAAACATTTGCTCTGCAGTTCTGCTATGTTTTTGCTATGTTTTTTTGCTATGTCAAAACATTTGCTCTGCAGTTCTGCTATGTTTTTGCTATGTTTTTTTGCTATGTCAAAACATTTGCTCTGCAGTTTTGCTATGTTTTTGCTATGTTTTTTAGCAATGTAAAAACATTTGCTCTGCAGGCTTGCTATGTCAAAGCATTACGTAAGTGGTTCCCTTTTGAAGTTGCAGTTTTACGCATTAGTCTTTAGTACATACATGCATACATACATACATAGATAGTTACATGGATGCATACATACAAACAGACATACACACATTACATCTGTTACATACATTACGTCATTACGTACAGTACATACATTACATACATTTCATTGCATATGTTACATGGGTGACATATATGACACACATGACGTAAATTCCATACATTATGTACATTGCATACATTGCGTACATTACATACATACATTTCATTACATAAATTACATTAGATACAATTACATACATTACATACACTTCACTACATACATCACAAACTTTACATATATTACATTGCATTCCATTGCATATGTTACATACAATACATACATCACAAGCATGAC